TGACACCCCATGAATGTTACTTCCATGTGAGCCCCTAAGTGCTGATCAGTTAGTACCAATTTGATGGCCACCAATGACTCTTAATGTCAGAATAATACAGATCTACAGAGCCTCTCAAGATTCTCCGATGAGCTCTACTCTCTCCTACAGCCATCCATCCAGTCATCATTCATACAAGGAATATTCCCTAGAGGCTACTATGTGCCAGGCACCAAGCTAGTATTGGGATGCAAAGACAGTGCACAATTGGCCTTTATAGAGGCCATAGATACTGTATTTTTATGGCTTGAGAACAACATGCATAGATTGTTTTTCCCCTGTGAATGTTCTAAGATTTGTTTCTTTCCGGGAAGCAATTGGGGTACAAGTAGCCTCGTTGACTAAGCAGCAGGGGACAGAAACTGTACTCTGGTTCTGTCTTGTCTTCCAGTTTGTATTCAGACCCAGGCAAGAGTTAAAGAGTTTGATGATTGATAAACACAGACGAAAAACAGCACAGCCCGGTGCCTCTTGGCTTAGGATAACATCTCGCCTCTCTTTACCCTAGCCAGCCTGCCTTCCTGCCTTTGATGCAGGGAGCGAAGGGTCAGAATGAAACCTGTTGGAGGTTCCAATTAAATCTTTGTGGACAAAGGGCACACACACGCACGCGCACACACAGCATCCTCAGATAACAGGTTGCAATAAATCCATCAGCAACATTCACTTTCAGAGAGCAGTTCCTGCTGCCTTGCTAACAGCTACCAGCACCTCGCTGAGTGCTCACACCAAGATGGGCTCTAAGGTAAGATTTTTCCCTCCCTCTGGACAAACTTAATCCTTCCTTGTAATTTGTGTCTCTTGTCAGAGGATTTTGACTATGAAGTTTACTATTGATTTGTTGGCAAATTCCTGGTTTTGTTTGGATTTGTTTTGATGTTTTGGTGTATGGCTGTTGTTTTGGGTTTTTTTGTTTGTTTTAATCTTTCTCCGTAGGACTTACTTTATTTACTTCATTCCATTTTATATCTTTTTGTTTTCCATTGTTTTTCTTTTAGTCTTTTATTTGTATCCTTATGTATTCTAAATAAATTTGTATTTAGAAATATCTTATTTATACAGAGAAATGGAGGGTCTTAAGTAATTGCATGCATTTTCTGGTTAAAACTTATCTGGGAATTTGGTTCACTTGAGACCTTGGTCCCTTGGATATATAGCATGGGGGATGTTCTTCTTCCAGCTCTGGGCTTAGAACAGAGTAGCTCAATGCTTGGGATGCTTCCAGTGTTCAAGAGTGACTATTGAACCCCAGTGATAATCCTTTAAACTTATTTACTTCTTCAATTATGAAAGTAGCTCATTATAGAATATTTGGAAATTATAAAAAAGGAAAAAGAAGATAATTTAAGTAATTAATTATAAATGGCTGGCATCTGGGTATCTTACTAGTCTCTCAAAAATGTGCACATATATTTATTTTTACATAATTGAGATCAAGCTGTAGACACAGTTTAATACCTTTTTTACTTCACATTATATTAATAGTATTTTCTAAGTCAATAAAATTATTTGAAAGCATGATTTTACGAGCTGCTTAATATTCTACCATTAAAATGTTCCATTTTTTTCACTAATAAGAATAATTGAGCAATTAATAATTTTGAACATAAATTTTTGGCTGTACCTCTGATCATTTTCTTAGGATAGGTTCCTTGAAGTAGAGTTACCTAGTCAAAGGGCCATTTCATGGCAGTAATCTATTTTAAAATTTAAATGACTGGTATTACTGATAATGCAACAGAAGCCACATAAAAGAAAATGAAATTCTTCCCAGAAGCTGTTATTACCTGAAGTTTGACAAAGTACTGTGACTTAATGCTGACTAATGATATGAAATCCTAAATAGGAAACTGATCACGAAAGTTAGTATTTTATTTCCACAGAGCAACACACCTTTCTGAGCAGAGTTTTATAGCTTAAACAATAAAAGTGTTTCTGGTATTACAGAGCAAGGGAAATTGGTGGAGAATAAGCCTACAAGTTAAAAACTTAGAATTTCATCCCAGTTTGGCACTAATTGTCTGACCCCCAAACTAATCTCCTAACCTCCTGAGTCTCAGATTTCTCATCTGTGAGATGAAAGTGTTGGTCTAGGCCAATGTGTCTCAGTGGGCAGTGCAAGTGACGCTTGTGCCACCTGAAATATTTTTGGATGGCACATAGAACATAGACGATAATTTTGGGGTGGTATGTAGACAAAGGACATAACTTTTTTTTTCTTTTTGCATGGCCCATAAAGTTACTTTTTCAACTTAAAGGAAAAGATGAAGTAAATAATAGTATAGGTAGTCATCAGCTATGACATAAATCATCAAGGTTGTAGGCAAATGTCTCTTATTTGAAAAACACAGGCATAGGTGATCTGTGTTCTGTTTAATGTTTTAGGTGTAATTCCAGATGTAAATAGCCAATAAGCAACACTTACGTGGAAGGCATTTTGGAAACCAGGTAGAGTTATAGAGATGTGTAAGAAGTGAACAGTGATACAGATATAGAAACGTTTCCAAATACTCTACTACTACTTGCAACTTTTTGCACTTTTCATTTTCATAGTGACTTTCGCTCGTCTGGGCAGACTTCCTCCGCTCTTCTGTAAAGGCTGCAGAAGACCTGTAGCTGTAACAGGACCCTCCCCAAGAACCTGGAGGAGACCAGTGCCCCCGCCCCGCCCTCGCCATGCTCAGGACCGTTCTAGACACTCCTCAGAGGTGGCTGAAGGAGGGGAGATCGTCGCGGCAGCTGGTGCTGGTGGTGGTCTTTGTTGCTCTGCTCTTGGACAACATGCTGCTTACTGTAGTGGGTACGTTTGGGGGTCTTTGTGCTGAGGGTTAACTTGAACTTGGGCTCCAGCAGGCAGCACACACCCTGCTCTGTTTCAGTGGTGAATGGACTTGAGAGTGTTTCTTTTTATGCTCAAAACCACACAGAGGTTGCTGGGGATTGGAGGAAACTGCAGGAAATGGAGTCTGAAGCTTGCCAGACATTGTAGAAAGGCTCCAAAGGTTCAAAGAAGGGGAGGTTCAGAGAGCATCAGACCAGAAAAGAGGGTGACCTGGAGCCAGTACCGGCTGTGCGCTCCTTCCTCCCCAAACTGTCTTCCCAAGGTGCTAATGACTCCGCGTGCCCCTGGGCAGGGAGCAGCATCTCACTGTGTGGCCTTTCCAGGCTCTGCTCTATAAAAATAGCGTAGTTTATTTGGATTGCCAAGTCCTTGTCAAGACTTGCCTTCCTTGCGGTTCATTCCCTTAGAGTCCTGCTTTTTCCAGTTGGTACTCATAATCAGTGCATTAAGTTGTACCAGTGTATAAAGGGGTACTAATAGGTTGCCCCTCTTGGGTAAAATATTTGTGAAGTGTTCAATGACTTGCCCATGATAGGATTCCAGACTATCTGTGTCCAACATCTAACAGGTCCCAGAGCTGGGGCTGCCACACCACATTCCCTGGTCCCCTCCCACCCCCATCCTCTGGTTACATCTGTGTGAGAGCGGGAACAAGAAGGCAGACCCCACCTGGTTCCACCTCGGCTGGAACATGCTCACATGTCTGCAAAGAATCGTGATAGCTCAACGAGTGTTGATTTGGGTATTACACAGAAATTTTAGTGAGTAGACAAATTAGCCAGTACGAAATCCAAGAATAACAAGGACTAACTGTATAATGGTGGCCGCATTTAGGTACTTTAGCTAATAGGATAATCTGGGCAGCAGGGTCTATCAGTAGGCTTTAAGTCATGTCACGTAAACACCTTCCTTGAGCATAAACCTCATCGTAGTGCCCCAGGACCTAGTAGTGGTAAAAGGGCAATCCTTCCTTAGCCCCCACCATGTGTCCTTGACTTTCAGTGCCTGTTGTGCCCACTTTCCTGTATGTCACGGAGTTCAAAGAAGTCAACTACTCTCTGCACCTCGGCCATGCCGTAAGTTCCCCGCCTACCCTCGCCTCTTCCGCTTTTTCCACCGTCTTCTCCTTCTTTGACAACACCACCCTGGCTGTTGAAGAAAGTGCACCCAATGGCACAGCATGGACAAATGGCACTTCGGACATCAGTCCTCTTCCAGTTACTGAAGCCATCTCAGCACGTAAAAACAACTGCTTGCAAGGCACAGAGTTCCTGGAGGAAGAGAACACTCGTGTCGGGGTTCTGTTTGCTTCAAAGGCTATGATGCAACTTCTGGTCAACCCATGCGTGGGACCTCTCACCAACAGGTATCTCAGTGGGTGCAGTGCCCCACAGGTGCTCAGGGACTCAGGAACAGAACAATGAATCGAGGTACATAGAAGTAGTTTAGAAGGGAAAAAGGAGGAATACTCACTTGTCTGGTCCCCAGGGCAGTCAGCTATTTGGAAAAAGCTGGTTACCCCAAACAATAACATATTATGGATGCAATGCATGATGGGCTTTAGATTTTCTTAGTGATATGTTGAATACTGAGTACCAAGAAGAGAGCCAGTGAATCTCAGTGTGCTGTTGATGTTATATCTGTGCTCTGGAACACGGCTTCAACAGACGAGGGTTGGAAGGGGACAGTCCTATTGTAATCCTAGAGCGCTGTCTTCCCAATCACTGCATTTAGGATTATCCTGATGTTTTTTTTTTTTTTTTTTTTTTTTTGAGACAGAGTCTCACCATGTTGCCTGGGCTAGAGTGCCGTGGCGTCATCCTAGCTCACAGCAACCTCAAACTCCTGGGCTCAAGCGATCCTCCTGCCTCAGCCTCTCGAGTAGCTGGGACTACAGGCATGCGCCACCATGCCCAGCTAATATTTTTTTCTATATATTTTTAGTTATCCAATTAATTTCTTTCTAATTTTAGTAGAGATGGGGTCTCACTCTTGCTCAGGCTGGTTTCTAACTCCTGAGCTCAAACAATCCACCCACCTCGGCCTCCCAGAGAGCTAGGATTACAGGCGTGAGCCACCACACCCGGCCTATCCTGATGTTTCAAAGGGATATACACTCTACCTAGGCTACCCTTTCTGGAAATGAGAATCTTGTCCCTGGTCTATGGGAATTTTGCATGTTTGTTTATTTGCTTGTATCCCTTCACGTGTCATGTTCCGTCTCCACACCTGCATTCAGAGGCATGTTTTACCATGTGCTCAAATAACTACATTTCTGTTCCTGCTTACATTAAAAAACGTAGTTGAAGTATATGAATGCCTGTTGGAATTGTGTCTTTTTTTTTTTAATTCCCTTTTAGGATTGGATATCACATTCCCATGTTTGCTGGCTTTGTTATCATGTTTCTCTCCACAGTTAGTAAGTAACTTGCTGCCTCTTTCCTTCCCTTCACTGATTGTCTTTGATCTTATCATGTGAATTTAGTGTGGAGAGCAGGGTAGACCAGAGAGTAGTTAGGCATCTGACTAAGTGGACTGGGAAGTTGATTTAAATGCTTTGTAGTTTTCGGTGTGGAAACTAGAACAGTAGTGGCAACTCAGTCTAGTTGGAATTCATCTATTCTGCTATAGAAGAACAGATACTTTATTTACTTGAGCGGGGAAATTATGAAGGCTGTTCGAATGTGTATGCTGTAGTGTCTGTGTGTGTATCTATCCGTAATCCCTTGAGCGAGTTTAATACAACTTCCCAGCTTCAGGAAGAGATCATATTATTTTGATATGCCATGGTAAAGGGCAAGTAACCAAAAGAAAAAAAAAAGGAAATTGGACAACAGCATCTGGAAAATTCCAAGAAGTCTATTGCTTTCCAGTTAAAGACATTAAAGGTTAGGGCTTAGGAAAGTAAATTTGCTAAAGAAGCAAGAAGGAGAAAGACAAATAGTCCACCCAGTATCTGCTAAATGTTCCTAACAAAATGGAGAAGGAATAAAAATGGTAAGTGAGAAAAATAAGTCTGGAAATGGACCCCAAGAAGTGAAATAAGAAGGAATGAATGGGGGTTTGTGTTTGGGGGTTCATGTAGGGGAAAGCAGCCTGGGGACCCACCTTGGCTCCGACGGTTCTGCTGACTCTCTGCTCTCCGACAACACACCTCCTTCTCCCTCGTGTTTTTCTTATTGCCTTTCTGTTGGTTATCTGCTTTCTCTATTCCTCTTCCTCAGCTTTTCTTCCTTTCCAGCATAGGACTTGACCCCTACCAACCCAGTGTTTAACAAGAATTTGTTGCATTCAGGGCTGGAAGGCTGCCAAGTGCAAGAGCTTGAGATGTGAACTTCTGTCTTGAGAACTGCATCTTACTAGTAAAAGTCTAGTTGAATCAAAGAAAATGAGGAAATTCAAGTTGGCAATGTTCATTGAAATTCTAGAAGCTCAGCCTATGCTAGAGAGCAAATTAAAAAATAATAAGATGCCCTATTTCATCAAATGAGATTTAACATTTTTTTCCATAAAACTTTATGGAGCACATGTATTATGCCGCGATGGTGACAGTCATAAGACATAGTTCCAAGTGGTCCAGGAGTATATAGGGGTTGCCTAGGGAGACAAACACCTTGCAAAATAAGATAATGCAGTGTGCTAGTGGATCCTAAACTCTTTAGCATAAGGTCCTTGCCTAAGTCTCTGCCAAGAACTCATGTTCTAAAAGCTTTTCCTTTTTTTTTTCTTTCCTTTTTTTCTTTCCTTTTTTTTCTTTCTTTCTTTTCCTTTTTTTTTTTTTAATATTTTTGAGACAGGGTCTCACTCTATTGCCTGGGCTAGAATGTGGTGGCATCATCATAGCTCAAGCTCACTGTAACCTCAAACTCCTAGGCTCAAGAGATCTTCCTGCCTCAGCCTCCCTAGTAGCTCTGACTACAGGCGCATGCCATCACCCCTGGCTAAATTTTCTATTTTTTGTAGAGATGGGGTCTTGCTGTGTTGCTCAGGTGGGTCTCAAACTCCTGGCTTCAAGCAATTCTCCCATCTTGGCCTCCCAAAACACTAGGATTACAAGTGTGATCCACTGCACCTGGCTTAAAAGCTTTTCTTACCTACCTAACTGTATGTATTAAATAATTATTTTTTCCATGAGATAACCGGTGTTGCTATACTGAGTTGGCCTAATTGTAGCCAAAAGAAACTACATTTGGTGTTAGGGTAAACATGTAGCATCATTCAGTGTTTTTAAAATATTTAAAAGAGGTTGCTGACACTCATTACTACCCTAAACTTCCCAACTAGGAACCGTACTTAATGTAATTAGGGTCAAATGTAAAGGGTGCAAAGTGACAAGCAAATTGCCTTGGTCTTCCCAACTAGGGTGACCAGCTATCCTGGTTTGCCTGAGATTGAGGAGTATCTTAGTCCATTTAGTGTTGCTATCAAGGAATCCCTGAGGCTGGGTAATTTATAGAGAAAAGAAGATAATTTAGCTCATGGTTCTGCAGGCTGTACAAGAGGGATGGTGCCAGCATCTGCTTGGTGTATGGTGAGGGCTTCAGGCTGCTTCCACTCATGGCAGAAGGCAGAGGGGAGCCAGATGTGCAAAATTGCCTGGGGAGAGAGGAAGGAAGAGAGAGGGGCGGAGGTGCCAGGCTCTGTTTAACAACCAGCTCTTTCAGGAACTATAGAGTGAGAACTCACTAGCCACCCCTCACCTTCACTGCCCCCAGAACATTAATCTATTTGTGAGGGATCTGCCCCCGTGACCCAAACACCTCCCACTAGACCCCACCTCCAACATTGGGAATCAAATTTCAACATGAGATTTGGTGAGGATAAACAACCCATATCCAAATTATAGCAAGGGGCTTCCCAGGATGTAAGACTTTCGGTTTTTGTGGGATTTTTTGACGTTCAGTTTTAAAACCATGAAATTTCTGGGCAAACCAAGTTGATCAAAGGATATAAGAATGGTAGACTAAATAGATTGGAAATCAGAAAGCCAGGAAAGGAGAGATCAAGGAGGTATATGTTTGGGAGACAAGGAGTAGTGCAGTGTGATCATGTCGCGAAGTAATGGGAGAAGATTATAAACACAACCAAAAGACATGTGTAATGAATGGGCAAAGGGATTAAAATTATTCTGATTCAGACACTTTGGCAAGATTTTTCTTGCTTTAGTAGACACTGTTCTGAAATTGGAGGTGAGACATGTCTGGGCTTACTACCCTGACCACCAGCACCCTGTAATTTAGTTTTGGATAACATATTCCTATTTGATTCTCAGTTTCATGTATGTTGGTCTCCAATAGACTGAACCTTTTCAAGGGCATGAACTGAACATTCTCTTGATTTCACATCTGCTATAGAGTCTAGCAGAGCTGTGTGTTCAGTGTTACATAATAAATACTGATTTGATTTGTTTAAAGATCTTCCAATATAAGATAAGGGGCAGGATCTGACTGGATCATGAGATATCATTTTCTACCCAAAGCCAGTAGTCCTTGAAGCACATGACATTGCCACTATACCCAAGAAGACCCAGTGGTGCCCAGCAGTGGCAAAGACCAAATCTGGGTGTTGCATATGGAGGACCTAGGAGTGGGGTCTAAGAACTAGTTCCCAGCCTGGGGCACTGGGCTTCATGGACATTCCTGATTCCAGTGGATGGGATGTTGGGTTCTCCACAAGAAGTGTAGAGATCTAGCCTCCTATCCACTGTGTGGTGATGTGGCGTACGCTTCTGTGGTTTCTCAGTCTTCTTGCCAATTAAAAAGCAGTTCTGATTGAGGGATGGAAGATTAGAAAGACAATTCCAAAAACGGGATAGTCGTCCTGCCTTATTAAAACATGTGCATAATGACTCGTGTCTGCAATGTCATGGGCATGTCTTCTGGTGGCTGGGGAAGCTGAGGCAGTTTGCTAACCGGAGCTTTCTTGCTATTCTCTTTGCCCAGTGTTTGCTTTCTCTGGCACGTACTCCCTGCTGTTCGTGGCCCGAACCCTTCAAGGCATTGGATCTTCATTTTCATCTGTTGCAGGTAACAACTGACATCTTCATCACACACACATACACACACGTGCACAAACACAAACATCTCTTACCTACTCAAACCCTGTAAGATTTATATGAAGAAATTAAGGAAAATAGCATCCTGGTGGGTACAAATTGTGATTTAGAAACAAGGTAAAGGGCCCATAAATCCCTAAGTCTGACATAATAACTTCCTCTGATAATATTCAGATGTAACTAGCTTAGGCTGGAACAAGCCCATGATAACACCGTGACGTAGACCAGGCTTTTATAATATTTAGTGCTACTTAATGGTCCATTCTCTGTCCCCTCTTAATGTTTCTTAGGAACAGTAATGTTCACACTACTGCTGTTAGTAGCCCCATGGTCTGCAGAGTATTGCCAAATACAGTATTTACTGAAATCACATGAAGTTAATATTTTATGCCAATTTACACCAGACAAATGGACCTGGGTGTGCAGCTGCCATACAGAGCCAGCCCACACCCTGCCCAGCTCTTCCTCAGGCACCCCTGTTGAATAGAACAGTCTCTGTGTTGCTGGGTTTTCCTTTTCCTGATCTGCTCCACCGTCCTCCCGTTTAGGGAAGTACGCTGCAAAATGCGGTGAAATGCGGTGTAACTGGGCGGTGGTATCGTGTTACCTCCCCACAGGCCTTTGAACTTCCAAAAATATTCTGAACAGAAGGGGTGAGCACTCTGGGGGTTCGGGGGCCTGCAGGGAAAGTATCTGTGGAAGACTGTGGATTATGTTTTAAAACACTCCTCAAACTGAAACTCTAGCGAGGATTAGCTCTGAAGATATAGCAGGGCAGGGACCAAAGACTCCACTGGGGCAGGCAAAGCTCCCACCTTCTGGCTCCATCTGCTTCTCCCCATGCAGGTCTCGGGATGCTGGCAAGTCTCTACACTGACGACAGTGAGCGGGGGCGAGCCATGGGAACCGCCCTGGGGGGCCTTGCCTTGGGACTGTTGGGTAAGTGGCACCCAGGGGGCTCTAGGAGTGGGGGCTGGGGGTACTGCAGACCCTCCGAAGATGGCTGCAGGAGGAGGGTGCTCCCAAGGTCGTGGAGGATGAGTGTTTTCCTTCCCTCCCTGGCCAATCATATTTTGACTCCTTCAGAAATATTACTGAGGAAAGATGAAATTTCTTTCTCCTTAAGATGTTGAACAGCCCATAAAGGCCTGGGAAAGTTCCGGAAACCCAGCCTGTTGGCTGAAGTGAACCTCCCCGTGTTAGCAGCCACTGTCTGGCTCAGCTTTGCTTCCAGGCATGGACAGAGTGTGCCCTTTGCCAGATTCTCTGCTAAATTCATTACAGACACAATCTCCTTTATTCCTCACCACCACCCTGTGAAGGAGGAATAATGCTCCCATTAAAGAGATGAGGATAAGAAAGGTTAAACAGCCATCCAAGGTCACCCAGCCAGGAACTGTCACAGCCAGGATACACACTGATTTTCTGGGCTCTGAGTCCCAAACTCCAAACTGTAAGGTTATACTTTCTCTGGGGCTCATCCCTCGTATGACTTAATTGACAAGCCACATACTTCTGCTGAGCACCTATTGCAGAAGGGATTTAGGTGAGACATCGTTCCTGCCCTCTAGGAGTTTATAAGCTCATGGAAAAGAAAACACCCCAATCTTTTCCCTGGCCTATGCCCCATCTTCTACTACCACAGGGAGGAGAGGAATCAAAAACTCTGTCGTTTGTTAGTATCCATTAACCCAAATACGCAGCCTAACACTCGGGTGCATCCTGGACTCGTTCATCATCAGTCAGTCCCAAATGAATAAGCCCCATTATATCCACTCATCGCTTATTGGTTGGAATATGGCACCCGCCTCCTGCCTGAGCTCTCTCGCATCCCCTCCATCCTCCACCGTGCCGCCAGAAGAATCTTCCTGAGCGCAGAGCTGGTGGTGTTTCTCCCCTGATGTCTCTCCCTAGGCCACAAGGCCAGGGAGACACCTCATCAAGATACACAGCACCCTCGGTTCCATGGCCTCAAGCTTCCCCATCTGCACTCCTGTCCTCCCAAATACTCATAACTCTAGTAACACTCACTTTCTTCTCTTTCGTCTCCACCTGCACTCTCTTTACTGACACCTCTGTGTTCTTCATACAAGCTTCTGCCCCACCAGGCACTATGCATTTGGCAAAGCTCTTGCAGTTACGTGGACTTTCTGAAGCACTGTACTGTGGTGACATCATCCTCTGTGCATGCAACCTTTTGCTGTTGAACTTTTCACCATGTTCTAATTGTTTATTCCCCCAACACATACATTTCCTCCAGTAGATAGCGAGCTCCTCAGGGTAGCGATCATGTCTTCTCCATCTCTGAATCCCCCAAACCTCTGGTGGAGCTTAGCCCTAGTAGGCCTTCCATAAATGCCCACAGAGTAAATGTGCACGAGTTTCCTGGGCTGGGATTCGCCCTCACCTCTGGAATCTGTGCCTGCTTTGCCTTTGCAGTGGGAGCTCCCTTTGGAAGTGTGATGTATGAGTTTGTGGGGAAGTCTTCTCCCTTCCTTGTCTTGGCCTTCCTGGCACTACTGGATGGCGGTAAGTCACCCTTAGAGCCCCCAGGCAGGTGGCAGCCCAGGTCAGTGCTCTGGTGTCCACCTTGACCAATACTAATAAGTGCTATGGGCTTGTTTTGATGGGTCAAGGATTGCCCTATCCTAAGAAAGAAGGAAGAAACTCAGGGAGTTGGATTTGTATGTGATGGGGTGGCAGCAAGATGGCTGGCATTGGACCCCCCAGCTAGTCGGTGGACAGACTGAACCGTCTCCCCCTCTCTTTCCTAGCTCTCCAGCTTTGCATCTTGCAGCCTTCCAGAGTCTCTCCGGAGGTAAGTAGACACCAGGCTCCACTGCTAAGAGATATATAAAAAGGTGAAGTGCAGGGAGCCAGACCATCAGAAGAAAGGTCAAGGGAGGTAGAGTCAGGGAAAGTGGGAACTGTACTTGGATTCCCAGTAGGGTCACATTTAGGGTAGTGTGGGACATAGTGAGCGTATTTGGCTTGATGTTGGACAAAGATGGCAGAAGGGCCTTATGAAGAATCAAAGAAGCCTTGCAGAATATAGGAATATGTATATATGTACATTTATGCAAACACACACACACACACACACACACACGCACGCACATATTCGGAACCAGGAGATGATGACATTGAGACCTGAGTATTCGGAGTTATAACATCGTCTCAGAGACAGAAAAGGCTGTGGTGGCCATACAGACAATCTCTCCCCCAATAAAAGACATCCTTTAAGAGCATCTGTAAGAGACTGTCATTCTGTCACAACTAATAAGTTATCAGAGTTGGTATTTGTCTGACTCCAGGCCAAAAACGGCTCTGGAAAATCCATATCAAACCATGAAGCAAGAAAGACAAGAAAGTGCATAAACTATGGGAAAGTTTGATTTAAAGACCTCAACTTTGCATTCCACAGTCCATCAGCGTATTCCAGAAGTAATTATAACAACACCTAACAGTTCTTCAGGGCTTTTTAACGTACCAGGAACTCTGCTTAGTATACTGTCTGTGCGGCATCTTATAAATGCCGTGAAAAAAGTATTATTTTTAGCCTCATTCTACAGATAACGAAACTGAGGGAAAACAGAGATGCATCTGAAAGAATATGAAACTATGACCATAATTAACACTCTTAGAGGGCTAATTCCTGCACAGCGACAGGGAGCGTCCTGCAGTCTGCTGAGGTGCTGCTGCTCTTTGGGAACCGGCTCTAGGAGTAGGATGTCTGGCAAGGGACGTAACCACCACCCAGCCAAGACTCCTCGGGGCAAGGAGCACCAAATGCCTCCTGCGCAGGCTCCCAGGCCCGGAACGTGCTTTGCCCCAGAAACCAAAGTAAAGGCACTCACTGTGCTCATCGCTGTTGACGCGTCCTTGTTTCTAGGCCATCTCAGTGACAGAGTTAGACACACACACACTCACACACACACACACACACAAGTTCACACTGAGACCTCCACTTCCAGCCCAACTCCACAGGATTTTTTCTTGCTTTCCTCATTCCTTATTTTTATCTTCCTTCTTTTGTAGTGAGAATTCTAGCTCCCCCCAAAAAATCAAAACATTTACCTATTCGTGCAACCCTACCATACTTACAATTTATATACCCATACTACTACAAAAAACACACCTACCAAGAAGTGTTCAAGATCTTTGCAGTTCTTTTTTCCTTAGACTTAGGGAAATAGCCAGAGTACTGTGTTTACAAATTACCGTACTTGCATTCGTTCTTTTGTCCCCCTTTCATGTGATTATATGATGCACAATGCATTTAAAATTCAATTGTGTTCATTTGTTTTTCTTCACATTTAGTTTTAGGTTTTTTTCTCCATTCTTGCTAACTATATTAGTCTGTTCAAGCTACCAGAACAATGTACTACAGACTGGGTGGCTTAAACAACAGATGTTTATTTTCTCACAGTTCTGGAGGCTGGAAGTCCAAGATCAAGATGTTGCCAGGGTTGGTTTCTGGTGAGGTCTCTCTTCCTGGCTTGTAGACAGCCACTGTCTCACAGTGTCCTCACCTGGCCTTTCCTCACTGTGTGTGCACAGAGAGAGAGCTCTGGTGTCCCTTCCTTTTCTCATAAGGACACTAATCCTATTGGATTGGGGCCCCACCCTTATGACCTCATTTAACCTTAGTTACCTCCCTAAAAACCCTATCTTCAAATACAGTCATATTAGAGGTTAGAACTTCGGTATATCAATTTGGGAGAGGGGGACACAATTTAGTCCATAACACTAATATAATTTTATATTTTGAATATATAGAACATGACTATCTAAAGGTTAAAATTATTCAAAAAAGTATACTCAGACAGTGTTAATCCTCCACAATCTTTCTACCTTCCCTCCCCCACTCATAGGTAACCAACTTTATTGTTTTATGGTTTATCTTTCTTATGCTTTTGTGTTTTTTACCCTAACTAGTTTGTTTTATTTACCCCTTTTTTCTTACATAAAAGGTAGCACATTTCCTTTTTTTCTCACTTAATTAATAATATATCCCCCAAATCACTCCCTATTAGATCATAGAGTTCTTCCTCGTTGTTTTCCATCTATATGGTCCACACACACACACACACACACACACACACACACCATTGTGTGTATATCATATTTTATTCAATCTCTTATGTTCGGCCATTTAGGTAGTTTTCAGTGCTTTACAGTTACAAATAACACTGCAATTAATGAATTTATGCATATGCATTTTAATATTATTGGCAATAATCTTTAGAATAAATTCCAAGAAGTGGGATTGTTGGGTTGAAGGGTTTATTGGACTTCTTTGTGTGTATTTTTCTGATTTACATCAGTTTGTTTACATCGAAGTATATATGGGTGAGCGCATGATCATTTCAGTTTTAGGATCTATAAATATCTTAACCCATTCTTGTATGTATGCAAAGAGGGTTATCAAAACTATTAAATCTGTTAAAAGACAGACTACAGTAAACAGCATGGAAGATTAGGACAGTGCTCAGGAAGTTTGAAAGAGGGAAATGTTCCAGGTACTGAGTCAGGGAACATTCTAGAAAAGAAGGAGCCATTTCAGCTTGACTGTGAAGAGTGGGGCAGGATGGAGGGCAGGATGTGGAACTGTGGAGAGGAGAAGGCAGGTAGTTAAGGCAAAGGTGGCAATGATGGCCAAGGGACTGCTGGGTGCATGGAAGGAGGGTGAGTGACCAAGTTAAGCTGGGATGGAATATGTCCTGAGGGGAGGACATTGGAACTGGACGTTTATGCTGGCATTTTAACCCAGGTGTTCAAACTGCTTCTGCTATCCCTGTCCAGTGTGGCTCAAAATGGTCAGAACAAAGAATTCAGAAAGCTTGAGAGGCTTTCTGAGTATGGCCTCTATGCTCAGTTTTGGGATTCTAGCTGGGGAGTTTAGCAGAGAGACTCAAGACCAGGAGTCCAGATATCTGTGGCCCAATCCTGGCCTTGCTACCAATCCACTCTGACATGGTTGATGGTCATTTGAAGGCAGGAATCACTTCTGGACTATGTTGCCCTCTTCTCTGAGATCACCACAGTCCCTGCCTTGCACACAGGAGGGGCTCTGCCTGCACTCACTCGGGACATCAGGCAAGTCCCTGGACTTTCTCTCCCTGGACTGGGTTTCCTGGTCTACAGTGATGGAGCTGATGTAAAATGGTCTTTAAGGCCTTGTGTGCACATTCTCAGATTCTGTGAAAAGAGGAGATATGTATACACTGTACAAATGGAAGTGTTTTTGTCATCCATGTTCTCAGAGTACCAAGGGGACTCCACTCTTCACGCTTCTCAGAGACCCTTACATCCTGGTGGCTGCAGGTGAGCTGACAATGGCCTCCCACTGGGCTGGGAGAGTCTAGGCTTCAGGAAGATACAGTGGCTCACAGCACTGTCCCCCCAGGTTCCATCTGCTTTGCCAACATGGGAGTGGCCATCCTGGAGCCGACACTGCCCATCTGGATGATGCAGACCATGTGCTCCCCTGAGTGGCAGCTAGGTAAGTGACCTTGGCACCTGCTAGGCCAGGGCAGGAGGCAGGTACTTTGTGCCCTTCCTCTCAGGTCCATGTCATCAGTGTCACACAGGGACAATGTGCTTCCTTCTTAGAATGACCTTCCATGTCCATACCCATGAATCAAGCCCAAGTGGGTGGGCAGTCCCTCAGAGAAGCAGTCTGAGGACGGGCAGGGTGGGAGGGGGTGAGGGGATGATTGGGGGATCACATACCTAGCTATATAGTAGAATGACTAAAGATTTCCAGTGTAAAGGCCTAGGTTTTGGTTTCACCTCCATTGATTGCCTATGCAGACTTGTGCAAATCACTTAGACTTTCTGAGCATCGTTTTTCTCAACTCTAAAATGAGCATCATAATTCTACCTAGTTCAAAGGCAAATTGGAGGAATAAGTGACATAAGATGTGGACATGCTCTGTACCACGTACAGAGTTAATGTGCACCACCATTACCATCCTCACTTTCCTCTCTTCAACGTTCCATCCCCGAGATTACCCTTTTGCTGTCTTTTCACCTCTAAAAAGGTGCGTATGTAGCACGCACATAGGGAAGGTGCTGGGCTCTGTGTCCCAGCAGAAGCTCTGGGCCCAGGGGAGAGAGCTCCAGTGTTCTATTCTCCATGCAGAGATTCAGAAAGGACGCTCCAGCCCTTCCCAGGAAGCCTGAAGAAAGGGGACACAGAAGGGTACGTGCAAATCGCTCCGTCACTGCAGAGAAGAGAGGCTTATGGGGCCAGAGGGAAAGCTGATAAGAACGTGATATAGCTCAGCATGCAATAAAAAGCACTAATCTAATTTTTAAGGGACGGTGCTAAGCAAGGCTCCCAGCTGCACTCCTCTCCCCAAATTGAATTTTTCTGGGCCGCAACTGCCTCTGACCATGACAATTAATTGAATTAGTCGGTGTTCAGTGCAGATAACGCATCCACTGCCCCCAGGGTCTGGCCAGTCGGGTTCTTGGTGCCAGTGAGCAACTGCAGCACCGCCCTTCTCCAGCAACCCAGTTACCAGCCTCAGTTGCCAGTTACCAGTTACCACCATCTTTCACAGCTTTCCTGAATGCTGTCTGGTCTGTAAAATCTGACATCGAAGGTTCTCAAATGATTACATCAGGATCACCTGGAGAGCTTTTAAAAGCTAAATGAGGCCAGGCATGGTGGCTCACACCTGTAATCCTAGCACTCTGGGAGACTGAGACAGGAGAATCGCTTGAGGTCAGGAGTTCGAGACCAGCCTGAACAAGAGCGAGACTCCCCCCGCCCCCCATATCTATTAAAAATAGAGATGGGGCCAGGCATGGTGGCATGCACCTGTAGTACCAGCTACTCAGGAGGCTGATGCAGTAGGATTGCTTGAGCCCAGGAGTTGGAGGCTGCAGTGAGCTATGATGACACCACTGCTTTCTAGTCTGGGCAACAGAAAAAGACCCTGTCTCAAAAATCAAAACAAAATTATAAAAGCTAAATGAGTATCATAATACTGTCTAGTTCAAAGAGAAATTGGAAGAATAAATGACATAAGATGCTAAATGACCTTGAGCAATTCAGTAAACACAAGCTTTCATGCCTGTTAAGTTTCCAGATGATGCTGATACGGTTGGTCAGCAACCCCCCTTGGAAAACCACTGCTCTACATAAAGAACACCTTGAGGCTTTGGGGAGGAACAAAGGAGTCAATGCTTTTGAGAGTGATGTGTAGTCTGTGACTGAGTGCTTGCTATGTGGCAAGGTACTGTCACCAAGAGGAGGAAACACCCCAGGCTTTGGAAATAGGTCCCTGGAGGTTTGAAGCTTGACCTGGCCACCTGCTGATTGTGACCTTGGATAAGTTATTTAACCTCTCTGAACTCTGCTGTGGTCTGAACGTGTCCCCCAAAATGTATGTGTTGGAAACTTAATCCCCAATGCGACAGTATTGAGAAGTGGGACCTTTAAGGAATGATGAGGTCAGGGGGGCACTGCCCTCATGAAGGGATTAAGGCTGTTGTCACAGGAGTGGGTTGGTTATGAAATGGGGGAGTTTCATCCCCTTTTCCTCTCTCTCCATGTGATGCTCTTCTGCCATGCTGTGCCCCAATAAGAATGCCCTTGCCTCATGGCCAAGCAGATGCTGGCGCCATGCCCTTGGACTTCCCAGTCTCCAGAGTCATGAGCCGAATAAGTCTCTTTTCTTTATGAATTACCCAGTATTGTGATATAGCAGCAGAAAACAGACTAAGACAGATTGCCTTTTTATTTATAAAAATGAAAAATTTTTTTAGGGTCATTTTGACCTATGTATTCTAGATGGATCAGCATAGTGCATGGAATAAGGATATACTCAGTAAATTTTAAAAAATATTATATTACTATTTTTGTAATGATTTTTATTTAAGTAATTCTGATAGTCACAAAATGTGTAATCCCTTGACCCTTGAAGATATACTGTGAAAAATATGCATGTTATCTATAGACATATAGTCTGGAACACCTATTTTTGCACAAAATGCTGCAGGAAATGTAAGCTGTAGCCAGATCCTAAAGAACAAGCTACGTGGATGGAGGAAAATCTCATTCAGGAAATTTCATGCCCTTTAAAATGATGTCAAGGAGATGTATCTAGGAGACTACTGGGCTTCCTAAAGGTGCTTGTGCTCACATATTAGATAAACAGTTGAGTAGTTATAACCTCTAAATTTTTTAAAGCAATTAAATACAAACAAATGGGTACAGTTTGGAATAGATTGCCAGCTGTGCAGATGGACTAGACAAATACACTAAGGTGAGCTTTACTAACAATCCATAGAAGAGAATATTAAAAGCAAACAAGCTGTCAGCCAGTAACTGGTGAACTGTTGACTTTTGGTATAATTGTAATCGTCATGGCGCTTTTTATTAGGCTGCATTGTTTCTTCTAGGTACAGAGAAGCATGAAAGGGCCGGTGAGACCCAAAGAAACTCACACTGCTGATTCCAAGCAGTCCCTTGACCAGAGCAATCTGTGCTGCCACACGGGGGGTGTGGAGTAGCAGAAATACCTGGATTTGGAGTGAGAAGGCCTGGGTCCAAGTCCTGACCCTGTCACTCACCAGTTATGATGATAATAATTCAGGCCAGTGCTCCTAGGGCTCTTACTCTGTGCCAGACACTGTGCAAATGCTTGATATGCACAATTTCATTTAAATCCCACAACCAGCCTACCTGGTAGAAATTATGATTATCCCCATATTTCAGAGATTTCTTAATCTAATCCAATTTCCAATGCCTTTTCCAGTCCTGGGCCTGTGGAACTCCCTGTCATTGGCAAGCATTCCTGTGCCCTCATGCTCTTCTCCAAACACTTCCTTCACCTTCTTGCCCAGAGCCCCAGATGTTTTCTGTGAACACTGTTTCCCTGCAGTGTCTTGGTGGAAGTCCATGCTCCCCCAGACCTTGCTCTCCTTGCTGCTTCCAAATCATTTCTTCTCTGTTCTCCTTCAAAGACCCCAACTCCTTTGAAGATCATGTTGTTAGATTATACCACCCCACCCCTCTTCATTGCAATCATCTGGTGACCCCTTAGCTACCCCTCATCATTCATTCGTTCAAGCTGTCAACATCTGGCTCATGTTCTTTTCACCTCTACCCCTGTCACCATTTTTGGTGACTTCAGTATGCATCTTGTCCTCTTCCTTAATCTACTTTCTTGCAATGACCTTTTCCTCCTCTCCCCCTTAACCAATCAACCTTATGTATACCCTGACCTTGACATCATCGTTAATTATATCCCCTCTGAGATCTCAATTCCAAGCATATTCTTACATATTCCCTGCTCAGGTGTTCTGAAACTCCCATATCAACAATTTTTGGCCACTCTGAGATCACCAAGCCATTGGCCTAAGTTCTTTTTCTATTTCCATCTCTGTTCATGTCCTCACTTCGTTCCTTACTCAGTTTGGATTCAATGGTTCATCATTAGTGTCACTCCTTTGAAACTCCTCTGTCCCCCTGGGGTTGTTACCTGACAAAGCTTTGACTCTGACCAAATCTATCAGTTGCCTACTTCCTGTCTGCACCTGAGCAGTGGGTGGGGCTGTAGAAAAACACACAGCCAGGCTGTTGCTCTCACCTTAAATTTAAGGCCACAAATCTAAAGTGGGCTTCACCCTGCCCAACAATCTTTGTACAAGTCTCAGTTGTGCTGGCCTTCCCACTTTCCAAAATGACTGTTTCACACTTCTCCACTTAAACATCCTATACATGCCCATCCTTTCATCATTCCAGCTGTTGACTTTGCCTCCTAGCCATTGAGAAAACAGAAGCAATGAGAAGGGAATTCACACATTTCCATTACTAAATGTATTCACTTCCCTGCATCTGTACCCACACGCACTGTCCCAGCTCTGATCAAAGGCCAGACCCCTCTTCTGGATTCCATCTCCTCTCACCTGCTTCGCTGGCTACCCCTCATCATGTTTGCTATCTTCTCCTCCTTTGCTAACATTTAAAGGTAGGAGTCCCTGGGGCTCAGACCTTGGATCTCTGTTCTTCTCCATTTGCTCTTCTGTAGATGATCCCGTCCATTCTCATGGCTTTCAGAACCACATGTAAACCAATGAGTCTCAAATTTATCTCCCTTGGAGCTCCAGACTTATATATCCCACTGCCTGACATCTCTGCGTATCTAACAGCTATCTTAAGCCTTTGGTATTTCCCCCAAGCTCTTCCTCTTCTACCAGTCTTCCCTATCTCCAGCCACCCAGTCGATTAAGATAGAAACCTAGGTTATCCTTGGCTTCTCCCTCCCCCTCCTTACTCCAGTGTCTGCACTGAATCCGACAGAAAATGCCCTAACTTTGCCCCCAAAACCTCCCGCTTTATTCACTTCTCTCCAACGTGACTTCTAAGGTAAGGCATCACTTTTCTCCTGGATTCTGCAAATAGTCGTCTGGCTTCCACTCTTGTCCCATGAACATATTCTTCTAAGGGCCTTTAGAAAATATAAATCTGATTATGTCATTCCCCTCCAAAGCTTCCCATGGCCCTGGAAAAGAAATTCCAAATTCTTTCTTAGGGCCTGCATTTTCTCACTCTCTACTTTGTTCATTACGAGTGATTTTTTTCTTTAAGGCCTTTTCATTTGCTTTAGGTACTTTTTATTTTCCACTTGAAAGGGCCAATCTTTTAGTCATCAAGGTCTCAGCTTAAGTGCCACCTCCTCAAAGGAGCCTTCCCTGACCCCCAGATCCCACATAGCTGTTCTTCCCGATCGCTCTGCCGTATCACCGTATTTTTCAAAATCGTGTTTTTCATTTCGTGTATTTGTTTCCTTGTTTACTTGTTTGTTGTCTGTCTTCCTCCCCCGGAATGTAAACACCCCGAGAGCTAGGATTTTGTCTGTCTTATTCACTGCTCTATTCCTAGCCCCTAGAATACTTGGCACATGATAAAAGCTCATTAAAATGAATAAACAAATGAATGAATGAATGAGACTCAGAGAGGGTAAGTAAATCACCCAAGGTCGCAGAGCTAATAGGTGGCCAAGCCGTGATTGAACCCAGAACTGTGTGGCAGGCACCAAAGCTCACATTTCCAGAACACTTCACTCTACCGTCACAAAAAGCCACATGGCCAGGGCTTCCATTTGTAAAACACTTTACATCCATTATCTAATTCACTCCTCTCTGCAACCTGGTGTGACTTCAATTGCAGCTTTGCTTTTTCCAGATGTGGAAAGCAGGCTCAGAAAGGTTTAGTAATTAATCCAAGGTCCCTATCAGAGCAATGGCAGGGCAGGTAAATAGCAAGACAGGAAGCGACCTCCCCAGGAAGTATGTGTATCTCTCTCTGAAGCTCATGTTCCCATGCTGATAATCAGGGGTATTTTATACGCCGAGAACGGCTCATGAGGGCCGTTCACAAGGAAGTCTGAGAGGGAGCTGGAAGCACGTTGAGTATATTGAAGCTAAACACAGCCCTGCTCCTGCAGCAAGCAGAGGTGTGAGGTCCTGCGACATCTGCTCTGGGTTTGCACAAGGATCCCCAAACCATAAAACAAAGTGGTTAGGGGGTCTCAAAAGGTAACCAGGGGACGTCACTGTCTTGGAGGAGACGAGGTGCTTTGGAGTGACTTGGGCACGTGCTAAGGTGAGGGTCTGTGTCTTTCTCCAGGTGTGGTTTTCCTGCCTGCCAGTGTGTCCTACCTTATCGGCACCAACCTCTTTGGGGTGTTGGCCAACAAGATGGGGCGGTACGTAGCCTGGGGATCTGGGAAGAATGCTAGGAATGTAAGATGGGAGAGCCCTTCGAGGTTGTCCCTGCACTTGGAATGACGAACAGCTTCTCAGACGTTGAAAGTTTGGGGCAAGTACACACAGATGAAAACTGCCCACGGGGAGGATGGGTGGTGGGTGGTGGGTGGAGAGGTGGGTACGGACAGAGGATGGTCCTGAGCTCTGCGCTGGTTGCTCTAGAAGAGGCAGTGGGTACATGAGGGATAGCCCCCACTTTCCAGCCATTTGCTACCCAGTTGAAGAGAAAAAATAAGCGCAAAAGAGAACAGCTTTGAAAAAAGCAGTACTTCAGGGCATTGGTTGTCAAACTGTGTTCTGTGGAACTCTAGAGTGCGCCACTGAAGTGCCTCGGAGGCCACCAGGGGAAAGGACTGGGGGCGAGAGGTGCAGGTCTAGATTCTGTTCCTCCACTGCAGTGGGAACAGCTTCAGTTTGATCTTTGGAGTTTAGCATAAAGATTTTGAAAACAAGTTTTAAAAGCGCTGCCATGGGAAATCAAAGAAGGAAAGAAGTTTGGTGCCTTTTGTGGTTTTCAAGTTGGACCTCAAAGACCCAATAAAATATGGCCAGGAAGGAGGGAGTCTGGACTGGAAAACAGCATGAATTAAGTTTGAGGGCTACTCCCAAGGGTCCAGTGCGTTCTGAGCCAGCGGATTTCTCTTCTAAGGGAAGGAGGAGTATGTCCCATTGCACCTGCGCTGCCCCTACTGTGGCCATAGGGGTGGAGCCAGGGAGGAGGTGAGGGCAAAGAACGGGTAGGCAGAGAGCTCCCCTGGGGACAAATCCATCACGGAGGGATGCAGTCACCTCCTCAGGTCCTAAGGGTTGCCGGAATTAGGGCTGGCAGGACTGGCCAGCGTGGTGGTGACGGGGTGGGGGTGGAAGGGACGTTCCCCTTAGCGCTGCTTGACGATGGCTCTTTTCTTCCAGGTGGCTGTGCGCCCTGGTTGGGATGGTGGTCGTAGGCACCAGCCTGCTCTGTGTAAGTATAAAAGGCCTAGTTGAGAGAGAGACTCAGACATTTAAAGACCACTTGCCTTTAAAGTGAGTGGAGGATTGACTTGGCAGGCACCGTTGGCAAGACTGTTTCGGAGTAGGTAGGAACTGAGCAGCGGGGCAGATGCCACGAGTTGAAGGGCGTCCCACTGAGGGTGGGGGAAGGAGAGCGAGGGGCGCAGGGCAGCCGGGGCCGGAGGTCTGAGGCTCTGTGCGTGGGCATTTGAAGTGACACATGTTGGTATTTCTGGGGCCAGCAGAGTAAATGAAGCATTTTATGACTTCACTTACTCATCCCACCCTGATAGACCCCACAAGTCCCCAGGGAGCCTCAGTCACCATCTGTGCCTCAGTCTCTGCCCCCAGAGTGTTGGACTGAAGAATAAAGACGGCTTTTCTGTTTTCAAGAGCCCCCACTCAAGTCACGTAAGCCTCCATTTTCCCCTCTCCCCAGTGGGACTGAGGAGCACAGAGCGTCCTAGGCTTGGGGGACAGGGGAGGGAGGAGGGCAGCAAGGCTCGGGGTACTCTGCTCAGGGCCGGCTGGAGGTCCCCAGTGGGAGCTCGAGCTCCGGCTTCCACCCTGGCTTTACCGCTTGCCGTGTGGGTGACTTTGAGCTGGTGACCTCACCTCTCTGTGCTCAGCGTCCTCATCTGGGTAGAGAGGATTGTGATGGTGTCCCCAGGGTTGTCGGGTAGAGAGGATTCTGATGGTGTCCCCAGGGTTGTCGAGGTAATCCCCATAAGCCACAGCTCAGTGTCTGGCATGGGGTGAGCCCCCAGCACATCTCAGCCAATACCATTGATAAAATATAAATGCGTGTCAAGGTATCACCTCTACAATTGTTAACAGTATGTTAAACCCTTAAGGAGTGAACCTGGGGCAGCAGGTTTGGGTGACAGGTGCCCAGGGAGGGAGGGAGGAACCTGCAAAAGAGGGAAGGAAAGGTTTTCGTTGAGGGGTGGGGAGGGCAGTGGGAAGGAGCCTCACAATGTGTCACCCAACCGTGTCACCTGCCCCCTCTAGCTTATGGCTAGTTGGTTGTTGGGCTGTCTTCCCTGTCTCCTTGCTCCAATGGCTACTGAGTTAGGGGTTTAAACAAAACCTTTGGATGATGTCAGTAATGGAAAGGAGGCAACTCCATTCAGTGAAGAACGAGGACAGAAGTGTGTGTTTGGGTGGAGAGGGAAGAGGAAGGGAGGAAGCCTCCATGCGACAGAAAAGAACCCTTATCGTGGTATAATGGAGTCAAGTCTGAGGTTCAAACTTGATCTTGGCACTCCGCAGCTCTGTGACTTTGGGTAGGGCATTTAACCCAAAAGGCACCAGTCTAGTTTTCAAATCTTTAAAATGGAGGGAAAGATTCTTCTTCATAAGAAGGTGCGAAAATGCAAAGAAATGATGCGTGTGGCCCATAGCACATGCTTAATGTGAATGCATGTCATGTGACAACCCCTTGAGCCCTGCCCCCACCTGACCCAGCTGGAGTCCCGACAAACTGTCCTTCCTCCCCCTTGCAGGTTCCCCTGGCTCACAACATTTTTGGTCTCATTGGCCCCAATGCCGGGCTTGGCTTCGCCATAGGTAAGAAGTGCCCTCAGAGGGAGCAAGAAGCCCCTGAACATGGGTGCAATGCCTTTCCTCCCCCTTTCTCATCAGAGGAGCTAGGTGGGAAGGCAGAAGGAGCGGGAGGGCGGCTGGAAGGGTGCGGAGAGATGGACGCATGATTCCCACCTGGAACAGGTGTTGGTGCCAAATGGCAGGACGGCAGGAAGAGCAAGGGGACCCAGGGGGAGGGGCATGCCACCAACTGTGGGTGGGGCTGACAGCGTCCTGCTTGCACTGGCCACAGGCATGGTAGATTCCTCTATGATGCCCACCATGGGACACCTGGTGGACCTGCGCCACGCCTCCGTGTATGGGAGCATCTACGCCATCGCCGACGTGGCTCTTTGCATGGGCTTCGCTATAGGTACGTTGGTGGAGGCCCCACCCTCCCCGTCTGCTGTTTCCCAGCTGGAAGTGGAGCAGGACCATCTTAACGTTCTGGGGATATTTGACACCGCGGCATCCTCTGGGTCACCCACTGCCCTTGGCATAGTGTCATACATGTGACCAGGCTCTGTAAACACCTGTGACCTTGATGTATTCCTCACAGGCCCGTCCACCGGGGGTGCCATTGTGCAGGCCGTCGGTTTCCCCTGGCTCATGGTCATCACTGGGGTCGTCAACATTGTCTATGCCCCTCTCTGCTGCTACCTGCGGAGCCCCCCAGCCAAGGAGGAGAAGCTTGTAAGGAACTCTGACTGCTAAAAAAAATCCACTTCTGTTTGTCCCCTTTGTCTCTCCTAGTCCCTTTTGTCCTGAGCTCTTATTTCCTCTATCAGTAGTTTCTCTGTTTTGTCCCATTTTTCTGGTCCCCTTTTCATCTTTATCCTTCCTTTGTGCCTTTCCTTAATTTCCCTTCCTCAGTAACCACATCCTCTCTTTCCTGGGCCATTAGGATGAGTCTTAGGGAGAGAAGGAAAATGGGGAGCTCACAAAGAATTGGGGACAGGGGACCATCCAAGGCATCCTCTAGTTGCTGTGGTTACTGGCGAGGTGTGAATTGCCAAGCTGTCTCCCCCCAAAATGAGCGGAATCCCATTGTGCACATTCATCCGTTCACTCATTCATTCGTTCATTCATTCATTCATTCATTCATTCGAGTGTGCCATTATCCTTACCAGAGCATCTCTTTTAGAGTACAAAAACCCCAGGGAAGAAAGAGATCCACAATACATGGTTTCCTTTAATAAGATACTTTCCTCTTATTGTAGCACGAGGCACCCTGAGGGGCCCGGCTGGGTTAGGAGTGGATGTAGAGGCTGCTCGAAAACACAAAAGCAGGCAGCAGGTCTGATGGGCAATGGTGCCGGTTCCAGCCGGCTTCCTGCCGGCCGGAGCTCGCACTGCCACTGTTGGGACCCAATTAAAAGCATATAGGTTGTTTGTGCTGATGAAGGTTGATGTACCTAGGTGCCTTGAGAGGCCTGTGCAAGTACATGAAGCAGAAAGAGGGTCCTGCGTTTGTTTATTGCGTCTTTCCTCGGCAAGGCTAGACTGGGATGAGCTGACGGGAGAACAGAATGGGTAGAAGATGTGCAGTGATTTCTCTCCTCGCCTCTCACCACTGCAGGCTATTCTGAGCCAGGACTGCCCCATGGAGACCCGGATGTACGCAACCCAGAAGCCCACCAAGGAGTTTCCCTTGGGGGAGGACAGTGACGAGGAGCCTGACAATGAGTAGCAGCAGCAGAGATGGTCCCTGAGCCACGTCACGTGTGAATTCATGAGGCTCAGACTTCAGCCACCACCCGCTTCCCTGGAACCAGATCACCGTGGGCTGCTCAGTGGGTGTCCCGTCCCCTCCCCTGGGCGTCTCCCTTCCTCTCCCCTTCTCACCATAGCTCTCCCTCTACGCCTTGGGGCCTCAGGCGGCCCATGTTTTGTGGGAGGACAGAGTGATGCTTCCTCCCAGGCTGCTGCAAGGTTTATTAAACTTGAGCTGTGACGAGTTCTGCAAGGGGTGACTCATTCCATGGAGGCGGCAGTGAGCAGGGTGCCCCTGAAACCAGTGGGGCGACTGACAAGTCTTGTTTTATCTGCTGATTTTCTTTGGCAGATTCCCAACAGATCATTTTGTCCTTTTTCCCCAACATGTCCCCCACTGGGTTTTCCCAGCTGAATTGAGAAAGCTGTTCAACGTCGTCCTGCTGTCTAATGCCAACTTGGGGAAATTTTTGCTTCTTCTGTATAAGCTGAGTGGTTTTTCTGTAGTGAACCCTACAGCTGCTAAAACGACTTGAGCCTCTGTGAACTGGGTCTTGTGTTTTCTTCATTATCAAATGGGAAGAGGAAGAGCCTTTTTCTCTTATGCTGGAGTTACTGACATTCTTGTGATCTCCTGTGTGTGTTCCTACCTTTCCTGAACCTCTTCCATACTTAGAAATAAAAGTATGGGAAGGACAGAAGAAACAGTCTATTAGACCCAAGATTCCATGGGAAGAAGTGAAAAGAAACTGCCCTGAAATCCTTCCTGAATGTGGATTTCCTGATACGAGCAGTAGAATGAGGCATTGTTCATACTTGCTAATGAATAATTATTGCCCGATTCAAGCATGGTAAAACCAGATGCTGTTGTATAGCAAAATAGAGTGTGTGGGCAAATACAGTAGGTGCTATAAATATTATGACATTTTGCTACCTTTTTGAAACAGTTGTTGGATGATGGGGTTTCAAAGAGGTGGGAGACATGGCAGCCACCCTAAGTAGGTTCCCATCTATTTGGGCAAAGAGGATATACCCAGTATACAAATGATCAGTACTGCAAGTTAGTATACACTCTGAGTACAGGTGCAAGGAGGTGGGGTGCGCATGGTCTCTGTGGGAGATAATGGCAGAGATGGAGGTGGAGGCAGGATGGAGACACCCGCAGAAGCAGGCTTTCGGGGTGCCTGGATATCAGATTGGGATGTTCAGACTTTATCTGGAATGGTACCTGGCTCTGAGTACTGCACTCCTCTCTAGGAGTTTAGTGGGTCCAGCACACGCCCTGAGTCACCGGAGCACATTCAAGCTGAACCTCTCAATGAAGCTTTATCCCTCAGACAATAGGCACCTGATTTATGGATATGCTTTTAAGGAGTTGGCATTAACTAGACTCACCTGATTTGCAAAACCAGATGTACTTATGTCATTTAGTCAGGATGATGTTTGTCTTGGATTTTGAATGAGCCCAAAGGTGAAGTTAGAAAGTTATTTGTCAGAATATATAAGCTGTAACTACACATGCAGACTGAGTGCTGGGGCTCTTTGCAGAGGTGGGAGTGGGGCGGGGCAGGGGAGGAGCCCTGGCAGTGACAGAGGCCGACTCACATGCACGTGGGCAGGCTGTGTAATAACGGTTGGGCTTGTTACAGAAATTAACACATTAAAAATAGGAAGAATATATTTTTTTAAGAGAAACTCATCCCTGATTGCCAGTTAACATTGAGCGGTATATGAAGACATGGATAAGGGGAAACCAATGGATATAATTTATTAAGACTTTCAAAATACTCTTGACTAGAGTCAACACCAAACACTACAAAGTAAGTCAGCACATCTGTTTTATCATAGATCAGAAATAGGTTAAGGATCACAATATATATACCCTATGCATGGAAGAGTATAAAAAGCAGACTCCCATAAGAATAGAAAAATGGAATTAGGCTTTATCCACAGGCTTATTATAAATGATATGAAAAGGAGAATACGGTGAACTTCCCACATTCACAGGTCACAAGAAATTTTTCTAAAAATGAAAATGCCAACCCTACAAGGATGAGCCACAAGAAGTTTTCTACAAAAGTAGCATAAAATGGCAGATGTTCTCCCATGTGGAACCGTTGAAGATACGCGTTTTCCCCTCGTGAAAGGGAGGAGGTGCAGAGACTATAAAAATATTCATATTAATAGGACGATGGGCTCTCGACTAACAATCATGGCATAGCAAAGACAACGGTGGAACTAATGAGCTCTTGTGCTCAATGGGCCAGAAGAATGTTGAGCTTTCTCAGGCAGTGTTGGAACAAACCAGAAGACTCAGCCTTTCCAATGTGCAAAAGCATGATGTTTCCACACTGGGGTGGAAGCTACCACACCACAGATTGCAGCATTCATATACAAGTTTTCGTGTGGACATACGTTTTCATTTCTCCTGGGGATATAGTCAGGAGTACAATTTTGAGGTCCTATGTTAACTCTGTGCTAAAACCTCGAGGAACTGTCTGACTGTTTTCCCAGGAAGCTGCGCCATTTTTGAGTCCCACAAGCAGTGTATGCAGGTTTCAATTTCTCCACATCCTCGTCAATGTTTGTTATTGTCTGTCTTTGTAATTATATCCCTCCTAGGGGGTGTGAAGTGATATCTTGTGGTTTTGATTTGAATTTCTCTGATGGCCAATAATGTTGATCATCTTTTCATGTGCTTATTGGCTACGCACATACCTCCTTTGTGGAAATGTCTATTCAGATCCTTTGCCCATTTAAAAAAAGTTTATCCTTTTATGATTGAGTTATAAGAATTTTTATATATTCTACATATGAATCCCTTATCAGATATGTGATCTGCAAATATTTGCTCCCATTCTGTGGGTTGCTTTTTCACTTTCTTGATGGTACCCTTTGGAGTACCAATGGTTTTAATTTTGATGAAACACATGTATCTATTTTTTCTTATTGCTTATGTTTCTGGCATGATATCTAAGAAATCATTGCCTACTCCAGGATCATGAAGATTTATACCTATGCTTTCTTCTGAGAGTTTTTAGGTTTAGCTCTTACATTTTGATATTTGATCCGTTTCATGTTAATTTTTGTGTTTGGTGTGAGGTAGGGGTCCAACTTCATTCTTTTACATGCAGATAACCAGTTCTCCCAGCATCATTTGTTGAAAAGACTATTCTTTCCCCAATTAATTTTTTTTGTTACCTTCTTTGAAAGTTAATTTAATGTAGATGTAGGGATTTATTTCTGGACTCTCAATTCTACTACACTTACCCATTTGTCAGTCTTTATGCTAGTAACACTGCCTTGATCAATGAATGTAACCTTGTAGTCAGTTTTAAAATCAGATTTTTAAAAAAAAAACCCTCAAGTGTATTAACAAAAAGCAGCAATCTTTTGTGTCATCCTTCTCCATTCCTGGATCCTATCCTCCACTTTCACATTTTAATCTATCTTATTGTTTTATTAGTTTATATTTTTACATCTAAGAAATCTACATACCCAGTTCTTTTTTTCTCTTTTATTGATACATAATATTTTACATATTTATGGGGTACATATGAGTGTTTGTTACATGCATAAAATGTGTAATGATCAAGTCAGGGTATTTGGGGTGTCCATCACCTTGGATATTTATTAATTCTATGTGCTGGTAACATTTCAATCCCCTCTTCTAGTTACATCGAAATATACAATAAACTGTTGTTAACTATGGCAACCCTACTCTGCTATTGAACATTAGAACTTCTTTCTTCTATCTAATGTACATTTTTACCCATTAGTTCTTTCTTAATTTAACATCTTTTGACGTCATCTACTGTCTTCCTTTATTGGTAGATGGGGGTTGAGTATTTTTACTGGTCCCTTTCCTGCCCTTCAACCTCCAAACATAGTTATATCACAATTTATTAATTTAATAAGTATTTGCATTATTATGACCATATTAGTGTTGCTTGCTGCTGAACCAGGGTGATGTATGATTTCATTTCCTTGCTCTACAAAGTTCTGCTGTCCCTGGAGTTGATGGCGCCTGCTTTGTTGTTTCTGGAGTTGCTTTGTTTGCTTTGTTTTCTGTACTGCCCTCAAGTCTTCCAGCAGATCTATAAAGCCCCTCCGACTATTCCTTTCTGAGCATAGCAGGTAACCTGTCACCTTGATTTGTTTCCTGGAGGCATCCCTCCAGCTCTGTGTCCTCTGGATTCAGCCTCAGAGCCACCTGCACAGCTGCTGGGCTGGAGTTTTCCTGTGCTGCTCTCCTGAACTGGATCCATAGTTTCCTGGATCCAGTGTCTTCCTCTTTCCTGATGCACTCCCATCTTTTTGTAAGCATGTCCTCCAATAACTTCCTCAGATGGGTGCAAGGCGGGTGAATAATTTGAGACATTGTCTGAAAATGTCGTACTTGACTGATGTCTGGGTGTAGAATTCTGAGTTGAAGATCATTTCTCCTCATATTTCGAATGCGTGCTTCTTTGTCTTCTGGTGTCAGCGTTGCTATTGACAGGCCCGGTGCCATTTGATTCTCCATCCTTTGTTCGGGATCTGTTGTTGCTTTTAGCTTTTAGGACCTTATTCTAGGTCTTCTTAAATTTCACAAGGATGAGTCTTTGCAAGGGTCTTTTTTATTCATCATGCTGCTCATCCAATGGGCCCTCTCAGTCTGGAAAATCATGTTCTCTGTTCTGGGCATTTTATTGTGCTATCTCTTCAATCCCCTTTTGCTTTCTTTCTGGAAATCTTCTTAGTTGGATGTTGAGCTCCCCAGATTGATGGATTTTCTTCCTTATTCCTCCTAGTCAATCATTTTAACTTATTTTATTCCACCCTCTGAGAGATTTCCTCAATTCTACATCCATTTGCTCTTTGCAATTTTTTTTCAACTATCGTAATTTAATTTATAAGAGCTCTCTGAATTTTTATAACTCCTAATCTCATTTCATGGTTGCAATATTTTTAATCTCTCTGAGGTTGGATCAAGCTATTCACATGTTTTC